TAGATTGACTGGTTTAACCTCCTAGCAGTCCAGGGGACTCTTAAGAGTCTTCTCTAGCGCCACAGTTCAAAGGCATCAATTCTTCGGCGCTCAGCCTTCTTTATGGTCCAGCTCTTACAGCCATACACTACTACTGGAAAAACCATAGCTTTGATTATGGGACAGGAACCTAATCAAATGCAATTATTTCCCAGAATGACTTGTACCTTCTATCTTAAACCAGTTTTTGCCAACCCCAGTGATCTTCATTTATTATAGGCTTATGTCAGCTCCTTCCAGCCATTGCCAGTGTTCAGAGCTAATGGGAATCTAAAACTTCTAGAGAGCTGCCAGGCAAGCATCAAAAATATTATTCCAAGTTATACCTGCCTAAGAAAGATCCTTTTCTTTAGAAACAAAAAAGAAGGGGGTTGTGATACACCATTACTCACCTTTCATTCTTTGATATATCTTTTGCCTTGTATCTAAACTGCAAGCCTATAGTCTGGGTCTCTGTTTTTTAAATTTATGTATGGCACTCAGTGGTTTTGGGCATTTTATAAATAATAATTACAAACTTTGGATGTGTGTGATAAATTTGTTGTAGCTGTTATGGGAGGTAAAGTAAGCAAAAAGTATAACCACAGTGATGTTCTTAAAATACACTGTTTTTTGGCAATTTCATCCACATTTTATATGAAGACTTGGTTTTTGTAAATATTTAATTCTATCCCATCCTTTGACCATGAAACTCAGGATAGCATAACGTTCATTCTTCCTCCCCTTATTCATACCATATAAGATAAGTTAGCTGGGAGCTGATGACTGGCTGAAAGTCATCAATGAGTATCATGGCTTAGTGGTGATTTGAACTCACAATTCCTAGACATAGTCTGATTCAACCACCATTCAATTTTTTCCCAATATAGAGCTCTCCAGGTGTGTCACATTACAGCTGCCAAAGTCCTGAGCTATGACCAGCCTGATAGCCTTGCTGGACTTTAATCTCTATATTAAGTCCTTCTCCTCTCAAATTAGCACGTTTGCTTTGATGAATAAGGTAAATGTGTCCCTGTTATCATCTTCCTCTTTTTGAGATGAGCTATGCTCTCTCTCTTTTTTTCATAGCATTTGATTCTTAGTATCTCCATCTCCCTATTTGGTTTTTCATTAGCGAAGCAGGAATAGGCCACCTTTGCGATTCAGTACACTGGTGTAGGCTTTGTTCCCCTCTCCCATCATTGTTCCTTTTCAAGTGATGCATCTTGTTTTTTTCAGACTGTGAATATACATACAGAACACTTATACATTCTCATCCTCAGATGGGAAATACTACAGGCATACAAGAAATGCTAATGTTTCTCAACCATGATACTGTAATGGATTTTGAAAACTCATGAAATTTGTATTAGAGCTACTCACATAGACGTATTGCTGCATAATACTGGGGGCCATGGAGTCAACATTCCTATTTCACTAGATCTGCGACCCAGCCTAGGTAGTTATGGGCATTGTCATGATTTTTTTAACATAAATATTTTGTAACTTTTCTGAAAGGATTTCTAAAACATGCCAGATTGGCACTCTTTTTCTCTTTTTGCTTGCTTGTTATTGTTTTACCTCTAAAAAGAGGAGGGACATGTTTTCCTTGTTGCAGTTTCACTTAACGGATTCTTGGTTCATTTTCTTTTTTTGCATCTGTAAGGACTTTCTTTGTCAGCCCACAGATGACATTAGTTATCCCTTTGAAGGCTCAAGCAGAATTTTTTCTCGATTTAAGAAGGCTCCCTGTGACAAAACTTGGTAATCTTGGGATTAGTTTCATTTCCGTGTTCCTTCTGAGGGAATGTTACAGACAAACACCTCTAAGAACTTCAGTAAATCTCAACTTTTGTGAGATGTGTTGAGTGACTCTACTTTTTTAGAACTCAAAAGAAACAAAGAGATGTTCACTTGATGCTTAAAATGGAACTGAAAATTCATTTTTAGCTCACATGCTCCCACCCACGTGAAGCAAGTAAGGGGTTCTGTATTAACAAATTGATAAAATTTCTCTCTCTGGACCGCACTGGTTTTATAATTATTCTGTGTAGGTAGGAGGGGGCTTGTGAAGCTGAGGTGCGCTCTGGTCTGACCATTAAGGATGGGAAAGAATTACTTTCAGTTTGCACTTTAATGTAATTAACATTTCCATTATGCAAAGTGGAATGCAGTTATGTTTTAATATTTTCCTGGATTCTGTGGCACAGTTTGAAATACATTGAAAAATGTGTATACTGGTGTATGTAAAAAGGGCATGCATTGAGTGAAATAATGTAAAAATGCATTATATTAGAGAAAATTGCATGCAAAAATACACATGTTGTCAGAATTTTATGTAAGCATGTACTGTTAGGAAAAACACACACACAAATGCATAGAAAATTGTCTTTTAAAACAAATTCTCAAAATGAAGCAGAAACCAGAAATAAACCTAAGTAAAATTAAAAACTGGTCAAAAACTAAACTGATATTCATCCATATCTCTGCATTTTGGGGGAAATTTAGGAATAGCACAGTTAAAGAAAAAAAAGCTCTTGCTGTAGCCAGAATAAGAAACAAGAAATTGTTTCTGTTGGAAAAGAATCATGTCAATAAACTTTGTTTTGGAGCAATTGCCATTAAAATTAGACAGCATGACACACAAATCTTATTAATAACATTCAGGAATAGTAATGACAACCATGTTTGAGCTGTTCCCATTGTTCTGTTTCATGCCATCTGTTCATACACCCACAGTGGTGAAGACTTTTTAATCTAAAAATTTTTTAAAAAGGTAATTTACTGGCTGCTCATGCTGTTGCTGGTGGCCTGGAAGTATGAGTTCTTTTCTAATTTCCACTTTGGTTAATTTTTACAGCATTTTAAATAGCTTTGTTAAAGTTAAAATGCCATTCTTGTAGGTAGTGCTTGGTACCATCCAATTATTACTGGTATTTTAGACTTGATAGCAGTGTCAATGCAAGATAATAACTGTTATAAACTCATTTGGAAGAAAATGTACACCATAGGAAACTGTTTACAAAAGGAAGCCCTAGGCTTTGAGAATAATAAGTTCAGGTCTTAGAAAATTCAACTTTAATTAGCTGACTGCTTGTTTTGCAAGTAAAATATAAGAATAGTTGAAAATTTCAACCATTGCATTCTCACTGGGCATTATCCTAAAACATAATGTTTCTACAGCTTGTTCCATTTCATTGTAAATTGCATGGAGGGCAAGTATTTTCTAGCACATATCAGACATGAAATATATGGCTACAGTAGTGAAAACTGAAAGAGTTTGATTTGCACCTTGGTCTGAGAGTCTTTGCTGTGTATTTTTCTACTGTCAGAAAGCCAGTCCAGATGATGGATGGCAGACAGATGCTCAAAAGTGAACTCTAGAAATTGCAAAGACAAACTCCATTGAACTCATCACAGTGCCTTGGTTCTGTCAGCATGACTTTCTCCACTGGACTGAATGGTAGCCATATGGAGGAGCATGTATCGCTAGAGATCCATCAGTAAGCTGCAGCAGCATCAACTTAAGAGAGATATAGCCTCTTCTTTTCCTAACAGTAATGGTTAAGTGCCATACCATCTCTAGTGACATTACAAAAAGAAAAGAATGTATAGGATAAGGCACTATGTGTGTGCCTCTAATATGTTCACATCTAGCTTGCTTTCTATTATTGGTCAAGGGAATGTTACTCTAGCAAATGGAATCCAAAGGAGAGGTAAGCAGTTGAAAGAAAAGGGCTGATTCCACTAAACTGTATTGAGTGAAGGAAAAAATGCTGCCAACAGAGACATAATGAAGAGGGGATTACACTTCCCTTTATTCAGAGATGGATTACCGTAGCCAAGAACAGATTTAGCCTAACTTTTGTGTCTCTGAGTATCCCTTTAAATTGGCTAATATACTTTTTTTTTTTAATGGGAATTAGGACATCATTATGTTAGGGGAGGAAACATCGTCTGTTCCTCTCCTGGTAATGGGATGGCTTCCCTTGACTGCAAATATGGGCAGCTTGTGGCCCTTTGGATTTTTGTTGAACTATAACATCCAGCAGTGTTAGCCAGTCTAGGCGATGGTAAGAGATGCTGGGAGTTGTAGTTCATCAATGTTTGGAAAACCACAGATTCCTTATCACTTATCTATAATGATGCCTTTAGGAAACAATGTATCTCCTTGCATAAAGATGCTTTGCAGCCTCCCACTTCCTCTGATCTCTATATGCTGTGCCCATCATAAAGGCGGACATATAGTTTAAGTTCAAATGTGCCATGTGTTATTTTTAATGTTTTTGCATAGACGTTAGTAAGGGAAAGTGCTATTTATGGAATATGTATTTTGAATTCCCATTTTGATGTCTTCTAGGAATAGGTGGCTTGCAAGAGTTTGTTTTGAAATCAGCCACCTTGTCATCATCTCCGGCTTGTCCACCATTTAATCCACTCAATTTTGAAGCAACACCAATTGTACGAGTTGCTGTTGAGCCAAAACACCCAAGTAAGAATATTCTCTCTTTTATTAGAGGGTATTTCCATTGGAAGCTAGTACATCTCTGAAAAAAATCACAAGGATGAAAAAAAGGTGGGAAAGTACTGGGATAAGGAAGCAGAATGGTTACATTGGGATGTAGGGCATTCATTCTAAAGGATGGTCATGGATTTGATATGACTCTGTACTTAGAATAAAAAAAAATTAATTCCAGATTGTACTTTCCTTTTCTGTAGCTCTCCTGTTATATTGTATGATTCTTTGAAACAAGATACTCTAGCAGTGTATTGTTTGAACATGGTTTTGATTTTCCAGGTGAGATGCCTCAGTTGGTTAAAGGAATGAAGCTTTTAAACCAAGCTGATCCATGTGTACAGATTTTAATCCAAGAGACAGGAGAGCATGTCTTAATTACTGCAGGAGAGGTCCATCTTCAACGCTGTTTGGATGACTTGAAAGAAAGGTGAGCTATGGGGAAAATGAAATGGAAGGAATGAGGAAGACATGCTTATAGTTCAGTTGGCTTTATGCAACATTATTAAGGAATTTAGACTCATAGTAATAGTTTTATGTCTGGGTAGGAATAGAAACCTAAGTTACTCAGGACCCAGGTACTATGACATACAACTGCTCCTCATTTAGTGACTACCTCGCAAATACGCAGGTAATAAAAAATTCATTTTCCAACCAATACATGCATTTACGACCAAATTTCATGTGCCTGACAACGCATGCCAGAGCGAAAGTAACACTGTTGTAGCTGTGTGAGAGAACTTTATCTGAATAAGATAGCAGCAACCAGTGATTTTTGCAGCATCTCTCTCTTGCTCGCCCGTTCTCTCTGTCATGTGTTCACTTTGTAACCATTTCACTTAACAACCTCGTCATTGGAACATAACTCGGTCACTAAACAAGGAGTGGGTATAGTTAGAGAAGTTGGAAAAGAATCTGTCTCCACCAATTCACTTACCTAGCTGTTGCTATAACTAGCTAGTAATGGTTGAGATGATGGAAAATAGATTACCTTCTGACAATAAACAACATCAGGGATGCTGCAGATTCAAAATTGGGTTCACACATAACTATCCTGTATCCTATGAGGTCAGATAGCCAAGTTAGTGGTAATTGCTAGCCTCACGTGCAGTAAAATGAAAAATGCCTCCTTTCTTTGGGCCCATTTTTGTAAAATCGATAATTTTCTTAGAAGGTAGCGCTCTCTGATGGTACAGTGGGTGTTTTGACAGTAAGGCAGGAAAGAAATATTTCAGTAATAATATAATCACCCAGAAACACAATGCTGGGACCCGGTGATAATGAGTGTTAACCTACCAGTGGACTTAAACTGTATCTGCTGTCAGGCCTGACTCTAGCTTTTTGGCTTTCCATAGGTTTGCCCGGATAGAAATCAGTGTATCAAAGCCAATTATCCCATTCCGAGAAACCATAATAAGACCTCCCAAAGTTGATATGGTGAACGAAGAAATAGGAAAGCAGCAGAAAGTTGCTGTCATACACCAGAGTAAGGAGGAGCAGAATAAAATCCCTGAAGGTGTGCAAGTGGATTCAGATGGACTCATAACAATATCAACACCAAACAAATATGCCACTCTTAGCGTACAAGCAACACCACTTCCAGAGGAAGTAACCCAACTGCTTGAGGAAAACAGTGAATTAATTCGAACCATAGAGCTGTTTACCTCTTCTCTTAATGAAGGCAGGAAAACAGAGGAGATGAATCAGAAGACTCTCAACCGGATACAGGAGTTCAAGCAAAAACTAGAACAAAGCCTGCAGGGCCGGAAATGGAGAAATGCTGTTGAAGGAATCTGGTCCTTTGGCCCCCGAAAGTGTGGCCCTAACATCTTACTGAATAGATGCGAGGGCTACAAGAGGTCTATTTGGCAGTGCCTAGAAGGCATCAAGTTGACAAAAGAAGCAAGTCTGTATCGGGATTTTGACAACAGCATAATAAGTGGATTTCAGTTGGCTACACTCTCAGGACCAATGTGTGAAGAACCTCTGATGGGCGTCTGCTTTTCTGTGGAGAAATGGGACATGAGCAGATTTGCTGAGCAGATATCACTTAACAGGCAGGATTTAGACGACGGGAAGGCTACAGAAGAGACAGGAGACCAAGAGGAACCCTCCCCTCTGTCAAGGACCAATACCGAACCTGTTTCTGAAAACGAACTCCAAGATGACGATAGGTGCAACCTAAAATCACTGAACAAGCGCAAAGGGGAGATGTTAAGTGCAGATTGTTATGGCCCTTTCTCTGGCCAGTTGATTGCAACCATGAAGGAAGCGTGCCGCTATGCCATGCAAGTCAAGCCACAGAGGCTTATAGCTGCCATGTACACCTGTGAAATTATGGCGACAGCAGAAGTGCTGGGTAAAGACTAAAAACGTAACCTGTATAAAAGGAGTAGTTGCTGAGAGAGGTTGGGAATTCTGGGAGTTGGTTTGAAAAACACTGGCTTACCAGATCCTTCCCTTCCCTTCCCTTCCCTTCCCTTCCCTTCCCTTCCCTTCCCTTCCCTTCCTTTCCCTTCCCTTCCCTTCCTTTCCCTTCCCTTCCCTTCCTTTCCCTTCCCTTCCCTTCCTTTCCCTTCCCTTCCCTTCCTTTCCCTTCCCTTCCCTTCCTTTCCCTTCCCTTCCCTTCCTTTCCCTTCCCTTCCCTTCCTTTCCCTTCCCTTCCCTTCCTTTCCCTTCCCTTCCCTTCCTTTCCCTTCCCTTCCCTTCCTTTCCCTTCCCTTCCCTTCCTTTCCCTTCCCTTCCCTTCCTTTCCCTTCCCTTCCCTTCCCTTCCCTTCCCTTCCCTTCCCTTCCCTTCCCTTCCCTTCCTTCAGTGTGTAGGCTCACAACAAAGCTTATTAGTCACTTAAGTGAACACTTTTTTCTATATGCTTATCCATTCCTGATTCTTAAGATCTTCAGGTTGACACAAATACATTCTTGTTGTTGTTATCATTAATCTTCCCAAGAACCAACATTTCCTGAGCAGATTACCTAGCTATTTAAAATATTAAAACTGAAAAATAATTTAATAGTGACAATGTCTAGTTAAGCATTCCCCAACCTGGTTCCCTTCAAATATTTTGGACTATAGTGCCTAGAATTCTCAGGAAATGACTGACCAGCAGTTGAACAGATCTGGATGGTGCCCAATTTAATTAATTAATGAATTCGATTTGGTATAGCTGCCCACTCCAAAAAGCAATTGGGGAAGGTTGATCTATAATGTAGGTTTGAATAGGTACCTTAGTATGTGAGTTATTTTTATTTAACGTCCCAAATGCCTTAACCTTTGTGTTATTGCTAAGATTGCTCCATGAATAGTGTTTGCTCCAACCTTGAGCTTCAATTCCCCCTTCCTCCTTTCTCCTTTTGAAAATCTTTTCTGCATTCTGAATGATAGCTTGCCACTAATACTATTGCTTGAAACTTCGTCTGCTTCTTTTGCCACGCATATTAATTGGGCTTTCTAATTCGATAACTATATCTCTGAATGGACAAGTTGTAGGTGAGAAGTGCAATGAAATAATAACGCCCCACGCTTTGGCAGGTCGTGTCTATGCCGTCCTATCCAAGCGAGTCGGCCGAGTATTGCAAGAGGAAATGAAGGAAGGGACGGACATATTTATCATCAAGGCGTTGTTGCCGGTAGCAGAGAGCTTTGGTTTTGCTGACGAAATCAGGAAGAGAACAAGCGGTCTGGCCAGTCCGCAGCTGGTGTTCAGTCACTGGGAGGTAAAATTTCTGTTCTGTTCTGTTCCCCCTAAAGAACCAATATGTGATTTCCTATGATTGTATAATAAAGGGGAGAGGGAAGAAGCTGAACTGTGGCCAGGATTTAAAAATTTGCTTTTGGTATCTCCTATTACGTGTTTCAGAATTCTTCTGTCCTGTTTCAGTGAGTTTTACTTGGTGTAGATCATGAGAGTTTCGTGAGCTTGTATTAAAGATCCACTAGTGTCACGCTTTCAGCGGCGACCAGCAACAAGGCAAAAATGTTGCCAACTTCTCCTGGTTATTTGTTTCCATTAAATATAGAAATAAGGCTTTCATTAGGAAAGATTGGTTTCCATTTTCCTCCAGAGATTCATTCCTTTCTTCATACAGTTACCCAATGAAAAGAAAGCAGAATTGAAGTATTTTCTTTCCTTATCTTTCTTTATCTGCTAACGGTAGAACGTAGTCATTTGATAAAATTGATTATCAGTAGATTTAGAACAGAGAAAGGCAATCCTTCGTTATATAAATGAAAATTAGCTTATAGAACTTGCAGCCCCAAGCCTAAGGATGGATTAAAGAAATTTTAAAGGATAATCGTAGAACTTAACAAAAGCTACTATGATAGTTAAAGACATTGTGTGAGATGAGCTGTGTTAGCCAAAATCAGGAGGAGTCTGGTAGCATCTTTTCTGACTTGCAAATTTTGTTAAAAGGTATAAACTGTCATGAGTTACAGCTCCCTTCATCAGATGCTTGGAGTGGCTAAACTGATGTAGGATTTAAATTGGGATAAGGTGGGGGTGGGGAAAGGAAGAGGAAAACAGGTTGATTATGCAGATGGAGGTTACATGTGGGACAGCTTATAAGTGTCTTATCAATTAACAGTTTTAATGTGTTAAAAACACATTGTGTGTGTAGAGATCTTTTGTGATATTTAAGTAGAATCTGTTCTGTTAGTGGATTTCCCAGAACCATTGGGTTATCTATTGATGGATCTCTGAGCTCCTTAAACATAGCTGCTCTTTAGTCAACAAATTAACTAGCCAACAGAAAGAAAAAAAAAGACTTGTCATTTTGATGGGGATGGGGGATGCTTGGTGAAACTACCCTGCTTAAAATATTTCTAAATGCCGAAATAGATACAGTAAATTAAATATTATTTCAGTTTCTGAAGCCTCTTTGTGGGATGATCGTAGCAGTAAAATAAATGGATCTCCTGCATTCCCCCTGTTTTCTATCTCCTGATCATTCTTCTTAAACTGTATTTCTCTCAAATCATGTAATTTACAATCAAGAGGTTTTGAGAGGAAGACATTTTAAGGAACAGAGAAGAATAAAATGACATCCCTTTTCTAAGCTAGTAGTTCATCTGCAATCTATTCTCTTTTTTTGAAGACCTGTATCAAAAAAATACAGACACGGGTACAAAATAATTCTTCTCAGGTAGGTCTGCCTGTACCTCTGACTGTGTTAACAGAGACAATAAAGAATGTCTTGCTAAGTGCCTTGTGCAAGTCTGTGCTTTTATTTTCCTGAGCATGATTTACAAATTCAGGATCTGTCACACTCCTCCTGGCATCAGAATTGATACTCTAACTTAAATCTGCCCCGCTCTTTCTTCTATTTCTACTTGCTTGACTGGCACCAAGGAAAACAATAGCAGGCAGGGTTTATTAAAGATAGGATTGCTGTTTTAGCCATCATCCTTAATGGGTCTGAATACTGCCCCTGACCTCCTTCATAACCACCTTTTGGAATGTTGGTTGAAGCTTCCAGTGGCTACCAATGAATGTAATTGAATTGGAAGGAATAGGAATTTGTTATAACCCGCCAGGAAGCTTTATTTAAGCAAGGTAAAGGCTACAGTTACAAGCCATCCCTGTCTCTAGGGAGTTTTCTCTGCCACTGGTTTCCCCTAACAAAGGGGGGGGGGGCGTCATGATAGCAAATCCAGAACCTATTTAGAGGCAACTGAGGCTGCTTTATAATGTGGGGATTTCAGTCTGCCCACCTGTTTCTTGTCAAATTTTTCATTGCTACATATACCATTTCTAGAATCAAAATATATTTATGATTGTGATTGTATATCACAACATAGTACAATATAGAATAACCGTAAAGTTTAAAACACAGGGCAAAAAACAAGCAACCCCCCCCATAAAATATTGATTAAAATATAACTATCTTAAATGTTTACCTGACATAGCAGTACTAGTAAATTCTATAATGTAAGGCTATTCCTAAAACTACTACTTAGCCCAAAGCCTAAAAATCAGCCAGTCTCTTTTTAAGTTTAAAAGATGATAAAATAAAAATAACTGACTGATAGCTGCCATGGAGAATTCTGTAGCTTTTGTAGCAGTGATTTTTATCACTCCAGTGTTTTTATTTTCATTGTGTCGTGGAAAGCAAATTCAAAGCTAGATATAGATGTAATTCAGGGAAAAGATGGTCTTACCGCAATGCAGTTTGTGTAAGGTTGTAAATTACCAATCTTTCATACAATTATTAATTTTAGCAACTTTAACTATGTCTGTCAAGGTGCATCATGTATGCCTGAAGCTCATTCAGTTGTCTATTTGACAGCAAAATGCTGATGCACATAACTCATCTTGGTCCACTAGTTCTATAATATCAGAATTTAATTTGGGTCCATGATTTAATACCATTTTGATATGGTATAATTTATTATTTCCTGTTACCTGAAAATTTACTTTCTTTAGCTGTTTTCCAACTGGTTGGTTGGTTTAAGTATATTGCCAGCTATCAGTTTTTATTGTGAGCACATTTTTATTCCTATTTTTTATAACCTCGTGTTTTGTAGAGAGCTTTGCTGCTAAAGACAGCTGTTCTTTTCATCAGTTCCTGTAGTGTTTATACCTAGCTGCTATATAGACTTGCTCACAGACTAACAGCAACAGCCTTTACATTATTTTTATGGGAAATTATGTTACAATAGCCCTGGTAGAAAGTGATTGATTGGCTAATATCCTTGGAATTTTTTAAATAACAGTACAATGAAATACATGTTTTCTTTTCACTATTGTGCATTTAGGAGCATATGTAAGATTGGGTGAAAGAGAATTGAATCTAAAACTTTTTTTTGTTAAGATACTTTTAGACATTTCCAGTGATCAGTTCTAGATTTTATGCCAATGGTAGGCTTTCAGTCAGAAGAAGTGGAGTAACGACCCATCTCCTCATATTTTGTATTTTCTTTTTTGTTTATGGGTTTGTGTTTCTTGCTTTCTTTAAACATCTGGTTTCAACAAATCTGGAGTATTTGACTGAGTGACCAGCCAGTGAAATCTAGGGCCAAGATTTCATCAGGCATGAATCTCATTGGGGATTGCATGTGGCAAGGATGAAGTGGACTAATGACATAGCGTACATTGATGCCATATAGATCATAAGGTGGATATGTGTTGTTAAGTCTATCCATGCTTTGGAAAGCTGTTCACGATGGCTATTTTATTTTATTTTATTTTACTATTTCTACCCTCACTTTTTAACACAATAGCAGCTTACAAAGAGAAACATTACTGTAGTTCAGGGAGCTTTTTCTCTCTCAAGAGAGGAAAAAGCTTGGTGAGAGGTAGCTGACCTGGTTTTATAGATACCTGGAGATGGTTTTAATTATCCTTTTTAAAGCAATTTGTTTTACTGCTGTTCCATAGTATGCGCGTTTTGCTTACAATTTTGCTATAACTGTTCTTAACCATGAAGCTGTGGGCAAGATTTAAGGAAGTTTAAAGCTCTCCCCCCCAAAGACATTCCCTATCACTCCCATCATCCCCAGCATGGAAGATCAGTGTCCAGAGATTGGGAGTGATGGGAATAGTAATCCACCACTTTTGGCTAGCACCAGTTTAGGGAAGACTTGGTTAAAGAAAATGTAAGATTATTTTGGCTCCTCCAAGAAAAGACAATGTACAGTGTTGCCAGAAAAGTTGAATTAGAAACAGATACCCTTTAATGCAAAGGTGCAGTCTATTATTTTCATTTTGGCTCACTGCAGTACATATTGGAAGCTAGTAAGTATTTTCAGCGAAAGATGAGCTGGGTCATAAGATTAGGGGTGGTGGAGGGCCATATTCCTTTGCTGTTGTTCCAAGATTAACACAAAAAAAGCTTTTTCCTTAAGTGTTTCTTTTAAGCAGCTACATTTTATAGGTTTGTTCCACACGCCACACTCAATCATTCAGAAACCTCAGCCAACCCTTTTGAAGAAATTCACACTCACTGCATGTGTTTCTTAGAGCTTTCCCTCTGAACCACACAGCCAAGGACAACTTTCCCCAGCCCGTGGCCTCCAGATGTGATCAGACTACAACTCCCAGAATTTCACACTGAGCATTCTGGGAGCTCATTTGTCTGTCTCTTTTTTCATTTGACTGTGTTTTTATACTTCCAGGCTTCAGATGAGTCCTGGCCATGTACAAGGTATGAAACAATACTCAGGGGCAGTAAAATCAAGATAAAATAGTAAAACAAAATAAGCAGTGCCAGCCGATCTAGAAAAGATCAGATTGGGGAAAGCTAGTATGTCAAGCAGAAGCTCTTTTGAGTTGTATTTTCAAATGGAGTCTTTAGATTTTGGTTATTCTCTGGCTACCTGACTGGAGAATTATAATTTTCAGGCTGTTCTTCCTCCCTTTGATTAATGCTCCTCTTTGTACAATTCCCCTTTTCCCAGGTCATTTCGGATGATCCATTTTGGGTACCAACCACCGAGGAGGAGTACTTGCACTTTGGGGAGAAAGCCGATTCCGAGAATCAGGCTCGCAAGTACATGAATGCTGTGAGGAAGCGGAAGGGACTGTATGTAGAAGAGAAAATTGTGGAGCACGCTGAGAAGCAGAGGACTCTCAGCAGAAACAAGTAACTGTCTCTGCTTTTGCTTTTCCCTTAAAAGCAGGCAGATTATCTTCTGTTCCAGAGATTCAGAAAAATCGCCTGGGATGTGCTGAGCTCCATGGCTTTCCTTACACTCTATTGTCTGTGGCTTGAGTTTGAATAAACTGAAGCTTTCTCTTTTCCTTCTGGTGAACTTCCAAACTTTCTGCCTTCTGGAAACACTTTTCACGTCAACTAAGTCAGCCAAGGAATGTCTGCAGATCTGCCACAGAATCTCCACTTAAGCCTAGGGTAGTAGGTCTGCCATCTTTTGTCAGATTAAATCAGGTCAAAAATGGTAACAGATGAAGAAGTACCTTTGATTCATCAACAGAGTTTTAGAAATGTATGATTGTAACTAAAGGGTTGTGTGGTGTTTTTTTTAAAGCAGTTGTTGGTAAGTGCCATCTTAACAGTCATTTGCCCTTGTGTGGAAAGGAGGAAGGATTGCCTCTTCTAAGATGATGCCTGTCAGGCCATGTTTTCATGATCTAAAAAACAAAATATGTTTTTGATGTGGAATTATTTCATCACGTATGCAGATGCATTTATTTATGGAGATATCCAATCCTTCTAATTCAGACATAACACTCAGCACAACCAGTTGATTTCAAACCGTATGAAATCAGCAGCTTTTAAAAGAAGAACAAAATAAGATTAAAAAATGTTACAGAAAGTATCTAATGAAAATAGACAGGTAGCAAATAAACATATTCAAGTATAATGTACATTCCGAGAGAAATGAATGCCTTCCTAAAGAGAAGGGACTTGACCAGTCGGCAGAAAACCATCTGAGTGGGTGCCAACTTAAGTCTTCCAGTATTTAGCAAATTGAATTGACTGAAACTTAGAGTCAGGATGGTGTAATTATTAAGGCCTGGACCTGGTCCAACCTTAGCTTTGAAAACGTACTTGGTGATTTGGTGCCCTTTCAGCCCAGTTTGCTTCCACAAGACTCTTGTAGGAAAAACTTGCAGAAGTATATGTACAGCACCTTAAGCTTCTGGAGGAAAAGCAAGAAATAAATCAAATAGATAAATAGAATAAAACACATACAATCAGTTGATTAACTGTTCAGTCTTTTAAGAAGCTTTACTTGCAGGTCCCATCTTACGTGATTCTTCGTAAGTGTGTACAGAACTGCTGGTTCATTTGAATGAATGGCCGCCATTCTTGAAACATTAGCCAAATGACAGGGTTGCCCTCTGGGAACTGAGATGGCACCTCAAACTCATCCATCTATTAAGGTTAGCAAACTCTCTCCTCTCCATTATTTTTTTTTTCCGTGTTGATACACCCCATAGTTAACTTATCTACCTTTAAAACGTGGCTTTATATGAATGAGTCATAGAACACGACTCTCTTATTTAATAAACTGCAGCCTGATCCAGTTTAGTTACCTGCTTCCTGTGCATTAGATAGAATAGCAGCACAGATCCATATTCAAATAGTTGAGGTTCCATGGAACAAATCAGAGTTTATGTTGAAAGCGCCATGGTAGTTCTCCAGGAACTGCTTTGGGAGGTGGATAGGAATTATGGTTCGGTATTGCTGACCCCACCCCCTGCCCTTTTCATCAGAATCTCATTTGGGCAAAATTGCTTGACTAGCGATCATTGGCCATGTGTGTATCTAAATTTCATTTCGGAATGAACCCGCAGGTGTTTTCTCAGCATTAGACCTAATCCTAAAGTCATTTGTGTCGGTAACGCTTAATTATTTTACCTGGGGTGCTCTGAAGAGAGCTAACAGAACCTTAACTCGTAAACACTACTTTGTCAGTCAGCCTCTTCCAACCTGGCTTCCTCCAGATTTGCTGGGAATTTGGAGAGTTGGGACCCCAACACATCTGGAAGGCACTAGTTTGAGAGTGGTTCCTTGAAGCCCTCTTGAAGAGATGGGTCCTGCTAATTGTGCGATTGCCGGTATGTTTATTGAGTGACACCAAGTGGCTTGACCCACCTCAGTGAAATCAACCCCGTTATTTTTATTCTCTCAAGCCTGTAATGGAAATGCAGATCCAGTTTTCTTGGTTGGATTCTCATTTAAGGGGGCAGGCGTGGGGAATCGATTTTTCAGAGTGTCCCAGCTTAGATAGGATTTTTCAGATAGTCAGGTTTTCGTGGCAACTGTTACCATTCAACAAAAACATCCTTGCATCCATCTAGCTTCTTCTGCTTCTATTTTTAAAATTATTTTCATTAGTCAGATACAACACCTTCTACATGTGTGGCATTTTTCAAGGAGTAGATTTGACAGGTACCTCTCCCAAAGGGCTTCCAAGCTAAAATAGGCACAGAAAAATAACAGTAGAAAGGGAGGAGGTGGGGCGGAAATTGAGAAGAACGTACATCTGTTTCAGTTACCTGTATTTTGACTTAGTTACTTCTAGATCAGCGCACATGAAGGGGAACTGCAATATCATTGTTCAGTTTTCTATTATATTTTTGCCAAAGAATATCTGTAATGAGCAGTGTCCTTAGTTGACCCTTCCCTAGATGTAAGACTGAATTCCAGGGACCGGGTTTGCATTACGAAGAATGTCCAATGTTGAATGTTCTTTTCTTTTACAGAATAACCAAATTCAGGTGTCTTTACCTCCTGGCTTCCAAGGCTCAGACTTTGTATTTTGAGGCATATCATCTGCATCGTAAGAGCTAGAAGCCTGAATTGTAAAAACTTAATAAAAGTTGACATTCTCAGGAAACTTGAGTACAGGGCCAAAGCCACATTCAGCTCTCTTTCTGCAGAATCATAGCATGCATATGTCACAGTGGTTTAATGAGCTAAATGGGTTGGATTGGGGCTCAGAGATCTGCTGAAAGATGTTGGCTGGCTCTTCTAATGGCCAACAGAAAGTGGCATCAGTAAGTTGATGGTCAGTACCTTTAGACCAGTGTTTCTCGACCTTGGCAATTTTAACCCATGCTGGCTGGGGAATTCTGGGAGTTGAAGTCCACACAGCTTAAAGTTGCCACGGTTGAGAAACGCTGTTTTAGACAATGTCCAGTGCCTGGATACAGAACGGATCCGAGTGGGCATGGTTAGCAAAAGGGCAGTAGTGATGATGATAACAAAAAAAGTTAAGAGGCACAAGATCAGACTAATTTGTGCCCCCCCCAAACAAGCAAAAAAGAACCCCAGCATTGTTGCCAGTGAACTTAAAAAGGGGGGGGGAGTCAAAACTTTGGCCCTCTTCCTGCCACTTCCATTTCCAAATGGCCGTTTGGTGACATGGTTGCCGATCCGGGAAATACAGGATTGGCCATAATAGCCCCCAGGAGTTTGTAAGTGATCAAATGAGTGGGAAGAGATATTTGTTAGAAGGTGAGAGAGGCAGGGGTGTCAAAAAGAAAAAAAAAAGTCCAGATGGCCGCATGATTGAATCCCTGCTCCTTATGTGCATCACACTGTTAGGCACACAAAAAGGGGGTGGGGCTTCTATCACAGCCACTATTTTGAGTTTTTTTTTTTTTTTACCCTGTTTCCCCGTGAAATCCCCCGGAGAGAGTGTGTGGTCTCTGTCCAAAATCAGCATCCTTGGTTCCCCCCCCCCCCCAGCTTTATGAAAGTGTGACTGCATTTATGAAATTATTCAGGTGAGCCTGAAGAAGACTGGACTACAGAAGCCACAAAGAGTTTTAATAGCAAACATCATAACCGTTATTTGACCCTGCTGCCTTTATTTGCTCAATTTAACGCTTGATTAAAATGTTCACCAGCAGTTTAAAAAGAAGAAGAAAATAGCATCTACATGCTTTTCACCCCTTTCTTTTCAAAATGTGAGCCACATGGCAGGATTTTAAATTGTCGTGAGCTTTTAAAGAGTTCCAGAGCTCCCATTTGCTGGGCAGCCAATTTGACGGCCGAGTTAGTTTTGTAATAAACTGGGGGGAGGGGGGGGAGATTTGCCCATGGAAACTGGATTACTCCAAAGGACCAGTTCAGTTCTCTCATTTGCTTACTGGAAAATATATTCTCTTCAGAAAGGTGTTTTCATACATCTGTGACCCTTTGCCTCCCTAAAATGTACAAATTTTCATTAATAGAAAATAGTGTGGAGCCCTAAATGAGAAGAGATCATTTCCAGCGTAATTCAGGCCTGGTTTCACAAACAGTAAGTGTGGCAGTAAATCTATTTCTGGACCATCCCACTTTCCTTGCAGGTCAGAATTCACACGATTGAATGTACGACTATGGAGGAATATCACCGAGTCCCTGCATGCTGGAACCACAGCGACTCTTCTGCAGCTTCAGCCTCTTGCGAGGAAGGATGCAGCTGCTCTAAGGACTTGCAACCAGGTGCTTGCTCTATATTCCCTGAAGCATCTCTTGGAAATCAAATCTGCACAGCCTGGAGCCTCTTTAGATAGAGACAAGCTAGATGCCATGCTAAATATTTTGCTTGCCAGGTTAAGAGTATTGCTTGCCTTAACTGCAAGTTTTAAAACGATTTCCCTGTAAATTAATTGGGAAATTAGTTTAATTGTAAAATAGTTCTAATTTTTTTTTTAAACAGGTGTTTTGAAACAGTTTGTGTTAGGGTAACATGGTAGAACAAAGGTTCTACTTGTGGGCCTGATCAGAAAAAGAAATCCACCTTTCTTTACTCTTAGGTGTGTGTAAAGAATCCACAGAACGTAACAGGGATTTGTTTTATTGATAATGACTGGAGCTGAGGCACCTAAAATCATGTCTAATTTAGCCCAAAGCTTTGTGCGTGCAGGGAGGGAGATACACACACACACTCGAGTATTGTCAAGATCTAGTCAGCATTCTTTCCCAAATTCCTTTGACTATCTGAATAATAGAGATTGGATAAACTATGTAAAACTGGGACATATTATGCCCTTCCCAATGTAGCGACTTGGTCCAATAATATATAACAATTTTAATCATTTGGATCCTTGGGGCACAAAATGTTCAAAATAGGCTTTGAATTATAGAGATTTTTTTTCCCCCAATTGCTCTGATTAGGTAGCCCATTCAGCCCATAAAAGTTACTGACTAACAGAAGGTAGCCGGACTTTCGTCCCTTTATCCTTCAGCACTGTGCTGTATGTAGCTGTATGCTGCTTCCAAAGAAGGGGGTTCTGTTTCTGGCACTCCTCTTGGCTTCTACCCCTGGAGCAGAGGATGATTTTGATTGATTGATTGATCGATTGATTTGAATTGATTTATATGGACACCCATCTCACAATAGTGATGGTGAACAGCTTACAACATTTAAAAACAGACTTGACTAACTTGCAAGCCATTCCTTGTCTCCTGTTTGCGTCTCCTCTTCTACTGAAAGAGCTTCCCTACTAAGTAGATATAAACTGGAATAATAACCACTATGCCCAGCATCTGCCCATAGGAGGGAGATGTGAGGATGACCGACTTTCTAACATGTCACATGAATGAATTGCAGAAATTCCATTAATTACAGACATGGTACTTGTGGGTGAGTAAGCAGATCATTTTGAGTATGACTTTTGGCCTTTTTTTTTTCCTTCCGTGAAACAGTCTCGTATCTTTCCCTGATAGCTTCAAACACTCTTCTGTGCCATTTGACATGTTCTGCGTCTGACTCAGAAGGTGACTCACCCTGCTGCCCTTGATAAGCGAAGCTTAACAGGAGTCCAAATTCCTCCTAAAATACATAGCTCAAACTTCTGTTACAGAGCCAAGCTTTTCAAAGCTAAATGTCCTTCTTTCGCACTCTTCTCTTGTGAATAAGGTGACAGTTAATCCACGTTCCAAACACTTTTAAGATACAAGATTTATATCCCACCTTTTAATCCAGGGCAGATTGCTTTTTTAAAAAAAGTTGCATAATACCATTTGAAATAGAGCAAAAACAAATTTACTGTAAGATTTAGAGGTCAGTCTTTGGAAGCTGTATGCAGGACCAAGCTCCCACAGAACTGAATGAGATTGACTTCTGAATTGATACGCTCTTGATTTGATTGCACTTGTGAAAACCTCAAGCATCAATTGCGTAATGTATCTTTAAGTTAAGCTTGTAACTGGATGGTTGAAAAAAAGGTTAGGCAGCTGCAGCCTTGATCAAAGTCTGTT